GAAATCCGAATTTGAAACTTATGTTTAGACATTTAGAAAAACTTGGACGGTGTAATATTTTTGAGTGGTTAAGTATCTACTGCTTTCTTTTTGGTTTGAAATTGTAATATAATCATTTTTTCTAAATTACGTTCAAAAACCACCCGACCCACATCGACATCACGTGGGTTGGGTTATAAATTTAAAGAGGGTTGAATGGCATGGTTACAATTTGGGTTGTTCAATGACCTCAAACCTCCTAAGTCCCAACCCAACCCATGTGCACCCCTATGGATACGAGTGAGTAATCCGACTTTGGTTATACATTTTAATCCACCATTCTTCTGATTGATGGAAGATACTACTGGTTCAAGTTCTATACTGAAGAAGAGCATTCTTTTGATAGTTTTGAAGGACATGAGGGCTTTGTTTCTAATGCAAGCCAATTCTTCTTGAATTCTGACCTTTTATGTTCTTCATGTCATTGTCAAGAAATGAGTAAATCCATTGCAACCGGCTAACATACCATTTTCATTTTTTTGACGAGAGAACATGCATTAAGTTACATGCTTTCCCTACAAATTTGACTTTGGGATACAGATATGGACTTAAGAATGTGTATTCAGTCTGATAAAACCAAACGGGCCTAGATAATCCCACATAGAGGTAGCAAGGTATGATATACGTAGATCTTGCCTCTACCCCATGGGGGTGGAGATGCTGTTATTTTGTGAAGATCCCCGGCTTGCAAAACAAAAATTAAAAGTAAAGATGCGAACAAGCTACAGGTGAGAGTGTGTGCCAATAAGCAATGGGAACAGTAAATAGAAAATGCATCAGGGACAGATGTAAGGGCCAAGGGGAATAGGTCAAGCAAACAAGAAATCACAAAGCACGGTACAAAAAGCTACAATTACAAGAGGAAAATCTAAGACTAGTTTATAGCAAACATGTCACACAAGTAGAAACAAAAGTAGACATGAAAGGTAGAAAAACTAACACAACCCTCTGTCGGACATAAGGCCCTGGTAATCTAACTGCCACCATGCTGTCCCTCTCCCTTGTCTCACCCTCTGACCTGTATTCAATCTGATCTTGGGTGCAAATTTGCAATAATTATACGTGAATCCTAACTATAAAATTGCTTATCATGACTTGATGAGAAAGGGTTCAGTCATCTTAAAATCTATTTGTGCGACTATGAGGAACTGGCCTCTAGAGAGATACTGTTAACATTGATAATAAGAGGGCTGTGTCTTGTATTGATTTTTCTGTCTTTTACAATGAAAAGAAAGGCCTTTATTAATAGGCACTACAACAGAGAAATAAAAGGAAATACAAGGCTATCAAGGAGCTGTAAATGAGCAGAATAGATCGTTGATTGATCACTGAATTTTGGGAAAGGATGCTCATAATATTTTCCTTTTTTAACACTCCCCCTCAAGTTGAATAGTGGGATTTCCAAAATTCAACTTGACCAAACAATTGCTGAAGATTCTCCCGTTAACCGCTTTTGTCAGAATGTCGGCCGGCTGGTCTTCTGATCGAACAAATGGTAATTCAATGATCTTTGCTTCCATTTTTTCTTTAATGAAGTGTCTGTCCACTTCCACATGTTTTGTTCGATCATGTTGAACTGGGTTTTCTGATATTTGGATGGCGGCTTCATTATCGCACATGATTCTGCTAGTTTCTTTAGGGGAGAAACCAACCTCTTTCAACAGTTTTCGAATCCATAAAACTTCTGCTAATCCCCGTGCTATCCCTATGAATTCTGCTTCAGCGCTTGAAAGAGCTGCCACCTTCTGTTTTTTGCTTCTCCATGTGACAAGATTCCCACCGACTAGAGTGAAGTAACCGGATGTCGATCTTCAATTTCCTTTATCTCCTGCCCAATCTGCAGCCGTATATACTTGAGTTTTTAAGTGCCCATTTGATTTGAATAGAACTCCATGACCAGACGTTCCCTTGAGATATCTAATAATCTCCACACTGCTTCCATATGAGCGACTTGAGGTTGATGCATGAATTGACTTACAGCGTAGGCAATATCTGGACGGGTATGTGAAAGATAAATCAACTTTCCCACCATCCGTTGGTATCTCCCTTTGTCTGCCAACTTCGCTCCTTCATGAAGTTTTTGATTTACAACCATAGGAGTATCCGTGGGTTTGCAATCGATCATCCCTATTTCTGCCAACAAGTCAAGGATATATTTTTTCTGGCAAATGAAAATCCCTTGTTTTGACCTTCGTACTTCAATGCCAAGGAAGTATTTAAGTCTGCCCAAGTCTTTCATCTCGAATTCTGTGAACAAGTTTGTCTTTAGCTTTGTCATTTCTTCTTCATCGTTCCCTGTAATTAYCATATCATCAACATAGATAATTAAGCAGGTTATGAGTTTGTCTCTTCGTTTGATAAACAAAGTATGATCTGAATTACTCTGTTTAAACCCATATCTCTTCATAGCCAAAGTGAACCTGCCAAACCAAGCTCGGGGGGATTGTTTCAATCCATAGAGTGATTTCTTCAGACGACAAACTTCCCTAGGGTTAAAGTTTCCTGTGAATCCAGGAGGAGCTTCCATATAGACTTCTTCTTTAAGCTCTCCATGTAGAAAAGCATTTTTCACGTCAAACTGATGGAGTGGCCATCCTTCATTTGCAGCTATTGAGAAGAGAACCCTAATCGTGTCAATTTTGGCCACCGGAGAAAAGGTCTCGGAGTAATCAATCCCATATGTCTAAGTGTACCCTTTGGCTACTAACCGGGGCTTTGTATCTTTCAACGGTTCCATCCGGCTTGTGTTTTACAGTGAAAACCCAACAACATCCCACCGGGTTTTTTTCAAATGGGAGGATACATTTTTCCCATGTATCGTTTTTCGTTAGTGCATCCATCTCCGTTTGTATTGCTTTTCTCCAGTTCTCCGATTGTAAATCTTGCTCGATGGTGGTTGGGATTTCTTCAGAATATAATGAGGTTGCAAATGCCTTGGCTTCTTTTGATAAGTTCCCTTTGGCTATGTTTGCCATAGGATAACTTGAACTCCGAGCCTCCTTTTCAGGAGAATATCTTTTTGGAGGAACTCCTCTGTTAGTCCTTGGAGGGAGAACATATCTTTCAGTAGACTCGGCTTGTATTTGATTTTCTTGTTCATCCTGTAATGGGACATCCTGCTCTATCTCATGGTTAGATGAATCAAAAGTGTCAACATTCTCATGGGTTTGAGAGTTAGACAAAGAAGAAGAAGAGAGGCCATTATTCTCAACGCTATCGTGGGTTTGGGAGTTACTTACCTCGGACGTCAGGTTGGGAGGATCATGTTCTGTAACACTGATTGTTGGCGTCGCGGATTGTGGTGATGAATTGGTTTGGGTACTGTGATTAATTTCTTCTGATGATGGCATCCATTTCAACCAACTCAATGTGTCACCGTACTCACTCTCCCCCTGACCAGTGTGTTGGGTGCTGTAGAAGTATTCAGTTTCAAGAAAATCACAGTTCATGGTAGTGAACATGTGACGCCTTTTTGGACTGTAACATCGGTATCCTTTTTGGTTGACTCCATAACCTACAAGACACATTTCTCAGCGCATGGATCAAGTTTGGTACGTTCTGTTTTTGGTATGTGGACAAAAATAGAACAACCAAAGATACGAGGTTTGATGGTAAAGGTAGAAGGAAGTTCAGTGAATTCAGACAATGTTTGATGGGGGGTTTTGAGGTCAAGAGGTTTGGTTGGAAGACGATTTATAAGATAGGCTGCGGTGGCAAGGGCTTCACGCCAAAAAGATCTCGGGACTTTGGATTCAATTAGAAGGGCACGGGTTATTTCTAAAAGGATACGGAAAACACCTTTTTGTTCGGGGGAATGAGAACATGTGGTTTGATGAATTATCCCCCTCTTTTGACAAAACTCTTTCATGGAGGTGTTAACAAATTCTCCCCCATTATCAGATCGTAGAATTTGTATGTCTCTTCGGATTTATTTGTCATGAAATACGTCCAAGTCATACGGGTGCAGTCATCAACAAAAAGCAAGAAATACCGAAAGTTTTGTCCCCCGGTAATTTTGTTGGTCCCCACGCATCTGAATGAATCAAAGAAAAAGGACAATCCACCTTAGTATTATTTGGTTTGAAGACATGTTTATGACTCTTGGCCAAAACACAAGTTTCACAACTTAATACTTTATTTGAAGGAAATAATTTAGGGAATAAGATATGTAATCATCCAGTCGATGGGTGTCCCAATCTTCTGTGCCATAACCATGCTTCCCTATTCATAGTTCCATAAGCCAGCATCACAGTACCTTGTCGAGTCACTTCGTCCACGTAGTATAATCCTTGGCGTTCAGTGCCACGTCCAATAATCATTCCCGTCCTGATTTCCTGTAAGATACAAAAGGTAGGATGCATTAGAACCATGCAATTTAGTTCTTTTGTAACATGGCTGATGGATAACAATTTATGAGATAAGGATGGGACATAAAGACAATTTGATAACTTCAAGGTTGGTGAAATTTCAATACTCCCTCCTCTCACTTGAACTATTTCCCAATTAGCGGTACGAATTTGAGATTTTCGAGGTTTTGACATTGAACACATATCAGAAAGTTCAAATGTCATGGTGTCGGTAGCACCACAATCAAGTATCCATGAATCATTATTTTCCCCATAGTTCGTTGCCATGTTAACCTCCCCAATGGTAACAGGATTTTGAGGTTCCCCTTTTGATAAATCAGAAATTTGAGGACACTCTCAAACCCTATACATGATTCTTCTAGAAATTGAAGTACTAGAAATGGAAGGGTTTGGGAGGACACTCTCAAACCCTATACCTGATTCTTCTTTATTCACCGCTGCTAGAAAACCAAATCCATTTTCTTTTCCAATGGTTCTTTGGTGGTCTCCGCCGCTGTTGGTGATCTCCGGGTTCCCCATGGCAGCTGCCATCTTTACCCTTCTTGTGGCCATCGGTCCACCATTCGGGGTATCCCACAAGTTTGAAGCATTGGTCTTTTGTGTGTTTCATCATGCCACAGTGGCTGCACTTCAATCGTGACTTAGCCATCCGGGATGATGGCCCCACCCCTCGTCCATGGTCTGACCGGCGTTGACCTTTTGCGATGAGTCCCGAGCCCTTGGTTTCGCTTGACCCAGTGACTACAAGTCTGGTCGCCAAGCCCTGTTGTGAAAGTGTCTCCTGAGGCTGCCCCAAGAATGTGTTGGTGAGCGGTTTCCTTTCTTACGGCAGCATAGGCTTCTTTGGCTGAGGGCAAGGGATCCCATCGCAAGATTTCTCTTTTGATGGGATCGTATTTGCGATCAAGGGCATTTAGAAATTGGAACAATTTCTGTTCGGCTCTAATTTTGTTGTAAGCCGTGATGTCAATTGCACATTTCATGGGGTTTGGGTCTCTTCTTTCTATCTCTCCCCAGATCCCCTGCATCGTGATCCACAAATCTTCAAGAGACATACCAGTTTGCTTGATTTCATTTGCCTTGACATGTAGGTCAAATGTTTGAAGTTTGTCCTTGCCATTGTATAAGTAATAACCAGGGCATCCCAAAGTGATTTTGCAATGGGAAACTCGGTCAAATTGCTAGCAAGGGCAGATTCTATGTTTTGTATAAGCCACGAGAAGACAACCAGGTCATCTTGCTCCCATTGCTCGTTCTTCTCATCTGTTGTTTCTGGGGGATTTGTGGATAAATGGCTTAGCAGGACTTTTGACTTTCCTCCTATTACCACTTTGATCATTCGAGCCCATAAAGCATAATTTTGACGGTTGAGGTTGAGGCTAATTTTGAGACTATCAGACAGATTTTGTTTTGGGTTTTGGGGCTGGGAATTGAGACCATTTTTGATGAGATTGGCGATTTGGATGGTTAACTCTTCGTCACTGGGCATGGTAGCTTGGTAAGAAAGAGTTTGTGGGTGATTGGTAGATGATGAGCAGAACTGTGTTGTTTGATCCTAGAACCATTCAACACTGCTCTGATACCATGTTAACATTGATAATCAGAGGGTTGTGTCTTGTATTGATTTTTCTGTCTTTTACAATGAAAAGAAAGGCCTTTATTAATAGGCACTACAACAGAGAAATAAAAGGAAATACAGGGCTGTCGAGGAGCTGTAAATGAGCAGAATAGATCGTTGATTGATCACTGAATTCTGGGAAAGGATGCTGACCATTGGCTGATCCCATGAATTCCTCAATCATAATATTTTCCTTTTTTAACAGATACCACTATATAATTGAGAGCTATATCTCCAAGATTATATATAATTATATATGCTACCACTTTGGTATTTTCTTGTAATGGGACTTTCTCCAACCAGCAGTGAGAAGGCGTAGCTTATTTATAATTGTGAACTTGACACTGCACATGATATGAAGGCAGACTTATATGATATTGTTTCCAATTGTGGATAAGCATGCCATATGTCGGATCCAAGGTAACTAGGAAAAAGGGAAGTGTTGGAATGATATAATTTTAGTCAAATTTATGCTGTCAAAAGCTGTTGAGTCTATGTACCTTCACATCCTCGAACATAATAGCTTTTGCATTGTTCTTCCAAGCATATGTTGGAAGAGTAACATTGCTTTCTGAGGAGCAGTCACAAGGGTGCATGGATTTCTTAGAACTAGGCAAAGCTAAATAAAATTATTAATGTTGACAATAAAATTACATCCAGATAATACAAAGGAATCAAAATTTTATGTTCCATTTTTTTTTGTACTTGTATGGAAAGTAGTGATGGATGTACCTCTGTCTCCTCTACTTAAGTCTCCTGCTGAATCTTTTTTGGGATTTCTGTGTTGTCTTGGCTAAAGCTTCTCTTAACTCTGCAGACTGGGAAGGAACCTCTACTTATTATGAATGCAATGAACAAAACTCAGACTTCGAAGTCTCAGGAGAAGAAAAAAGGAGTAAAATAGGAACATTGAAGAAGGCAGCAAAGAATGCATCAAGTAAAATTCAGCACTCTCTTAGGAAGAGAAGTAGGAAGAAAAACAATAACCAAGTTTCCATTCCAATTGAAGATGTACGAGATCCTGAAGAGGTAAATGCAGTAGCCAGTTTTCGGCGAATGCTGGTAGCAGATGAGTTGCTTCCTGCAAAACTTGATGATTATTTTACACTGCTGAGGTAATATTGTTATGTCCATGTCTATATATGCAAATAGATGGAAATTTTTTCACATTGTCGGCTAGTTATGTATGAATATATCCATTGCTATTTCTTATAGACAAGAAATATATCAAGCTGTGCTAGTTGTAATTATCTCTTCAGACAAAAATAGGTTTTGGATATCATATTTTTACAATTCTGTGTGACAATTCGTAATTCATATCAAGTACTGAATTTGAAAATTAAACAAGAAATTTGAAAGTGATGCTCAATTTTGGATATTGGTAATGCTTGTTTCTTATATCTTTATGGGGATCCTGCTGGTTTGGGTATCTGAAGGGCATATTCATTGATCCTGCTGGTTCAGGGATCCTGCATCAATGCAGTTCAACTGGCTATCCACATTCTACATTACTTAGTTTCTCTGTACAAAGAATTAGCTATCGAATCACAAGAGTGTCATGGACCTTTGCCATCCATAGGTTTAACTGTTTTATATTCTTCTATAGGTGCTAGACTTGGTGTCTAAAGGGATTGATTTTCCTGCTATTTGCTATTGGATTTTATAGATTGTTGATGTGTCAAATACCTTGCAGATTCTTAAAAGCCAGGAATTTTGATATTGAAAAATCAAAACATATGTGGGTTAGCATGCTTCAGTGGAGGAAAGCCTTTGGTACCGACAGTATTTTTGAGGTAATTATCAATAAGAGCTTAATTCACATGTTACTGTATCATTGTCAGGGGATATAGCCTTTGGTACCAACAGATTAACCATTCTTTTTAAAATGTTTCTGCAAGTCATATGCTCGATGCTTTGACAGGATTTTGACTTCAAAGAGTTGAATGAAGTTCTGCAGCACTATCCTCAAGGCTATCATGGTGTAGATAAGGAGGGAAGGCCTATATATATAGAATTATTGGGACAAGCTGATCCGGACAAGGTTATGCTAGTAACAACATTGGAGAGGTATGTGAAGTATCATGTGCAGGGGTTCGAGAGAACTACTGCTATCAGGTTTCCAGCTTGCTCTGTTGCTGCAAAGAGGCGTATCACTGCCGGTACAACAATTTTAGATGTTCAAGGCATGGTATGCTTATTAATTCTCTATGTGCAGATAAGCTTATATAACATACCTGCTTTATGTTTGTTAGAGTCCCACGTCGTGTAGACTGGAAAATTTTCCTCGATATATGTTGGAACCTCTGTTCTAATAGCTTTTTTGGAGAGAAATCTACTGGGGTTCCACATATTTTCACATGATATCAGAGCCAAAGCCTACCACTACATGGACTCGACACTTTGAGACATCTCTGCCCGTCTAGCCTCTGTTGGAGGGGGTGTGATAAAGTTCCACATCGGCTAGACGTGAACCATTTCTCCCCAATATATGTCGGAACCTCCATTCTATGCCCAAGGGCTCTTTGAACTGTGATTTAATGGGGTTTCTCATATTCTTACAATATTGTTTGGTTTTGTACTTCATTTTTCATGTATCAGGGTTTGAAGAACTTAACTAGGTCTGCTATAGATGTTATCAAGAAGTTGCAGCAAATTGATAATGACTACTACCCTGAGGTATGTTTTACCATACACTTCTAACTGATGGCAACCTTTCTCTTTTTTCTTTCCACAATTCCTTATTTAATGTGAAACCTTACCTCTGGAAACTGAAATATGCAGACCCTTGGCCGTATGTATATCATAAATGCTGGTCCTGGCTTTAAAATGCTTTGGAAAGCAATCCAAAGCTTTCTTGATCCCAAAACCAGATCCAAAATTCATGTAAGTTATAAAAAAGCTCATAATCATCGGTTATGCTGTAAAAGCTTCTGAATTAATTATATATAAAGTTGGATTTGTCTTTCATTATCCCTTGTTTCAGGTTCTTGGCCATAGATATAAAAGCACCTTGCTTGAAGTAATTGATTCAAGGTTAGTCATTATATATTTCAGATGTTACACTTTAATTGTCCAATATCTACTACATGAAAATGGGGGTTCTTTACCAATTCTATCATCTTATATTGCTTTAGCCTTCACTCGAGTTAGGAAATATAAGTATCATATAAGCTTAGAGCTACTTAGTTGTATTTTCACAGTGAGTTGCCAGAATTTCTGGGTGGAAGCTGTAACTGTGCAGAGCAAGGGGGTTGTCTGCAATCTGATAAAGGGCCATGGCAAGACCACAATATACTTCAGGTAATGTTTGTTAGCTGTTGATTATCATATTTAGCACATAAAAGTGATGGTTATAACTTTAAAATATTACATATTTTGATCATGGTGCATGCATGCAGATGGTTTCTAGTGGCAAAACAAAATGTTCAGTCCAAGAAATTTCAACATTAAGTAGGGAGGGGATAACGAACGATGAAGACCGTTCCACAGTGGTATGCTCTATCCGACATCTTCGGCAATTGTTTTCTATTATTTTCTTCTTTACGTGCCATGCATACTCTTTCCTTTATTATATACATCATACTGGTAACTAGACTTGACATTAGTTCCCTCAATAATTTTATTATTTTCTAATCGAATCAGCTGAAGAGCAGTGAAGCATCTGCTGCAGAATCGGCTTCTGAAATTGAAGAGATCGCTCCTAAAGGTACAAAGTGTATTACAGATCCAAGATTGGCTCCTGTTTCTGAAGAAGTAAGTGTGGTAGCTGCTGATGTTACCATAACCGGCTAAATCCTGTTACTTTTTTGTCTTTTTGATCATGTGTGAAGAAGGTTATATTACTTGGATTTTGTTTCTATAATTCCACCAACTTTTATGTCATATATGAAATGCTTTCACTTATATTTCAACTATAATGGGTTTGTCCATTTTTATCTTAATAAGCTAGTACCAATGCTTTATTCCAGTATGAAAAGGATATTCCAGTCGATAGAGTTGTGGATGAAAGATTAAAGCAAGAAACTCCACTTCAAGAGTCCGACATAATGGGAGGTCAGCAGAACTCACATTTGTTTCTCCAACATCTACATTAGTCGCAGGCTACGATTGGCGATTGCTGATAGATCTTAACAACATTTGTATTACATGGGGATCATGTCACATTGCAGGTGCACAAATCGCTACTGGCAGAACTCGTGCTCATATCTGGATCTCTTTGATGTCCTTCTTATCCCTTCTTACATTCATTGGAACAGTTGGATACCAGATTACCAATAAACTCGGGGTTTCAGTATCTAATTTAGCAAAAAAAACCATTCTTCTGATGAGTAAACCAACTCTTGAGGCACAAAGTCCTCTGGTGTCTCCTCCATTGGAGACAGATCTATCATCTGCTATGGAAAAACTGGGTGAGCTTGAAGCCAAGGTCAACAGTTTGCAGTCAAGATCGGTGGAGCTGCCTAACGACAAGGAGGAACTGCTCAATGCTGCAGTTTGTCGTGTAGACGCTTTAGAAGCAGAGCTAATTGCTACAAAAAAGGTTGGCCTTTTCTTATCTCTTCTTAAGGCTATTTGGTTGGTTTTTCATTAAGTCATGAATGGATATGTCTGGGTGGATCAATCTGTTTGTATAGATTGGGATGGTTTTTGTTTGGTAGAGTTTATGTATAGATGCAAGGATTATGGTTTTTAATAGGGAGGGACATGTTTGGAAATAAGCTGCTAACAAACAAACCTAATGGTTTTAATAGGATGAACAATTGTTTGGTCTTGTAAACTTAAGCCTTATAAATCAGTTTTTTAGAAAATTTAGACATATTTGATATCTTATAAAGCTGATTTTGTTGTCTTAACCTATCCACCAGAAAATTTGTTGCAATCAAACTTGTTCTTTCCTTTCCCATAGGCCTTACATGAAGCTCTAATGAAACAAGATGAGCTTCTTGCATTCGTGGACGGACAAAAGATGGTAAAATCCTGGGTACGCTTGCTACTACAACCCTTTCGTTAGATGTTTTCTTTTTCGATAGTTCTAGTGAAAGAAAATATAAACATTCTGATCTACAAGGTTTAATAATGAACGTGTCTTGAACTCTCGGTGTAGCAGGGAAAGAGACTTTGCTGTTAACGCAAGACCGGAGTACGTCGTCTTTTCGAGTTTCACGTAACCAACGAGAAATCATTGTAGCATATCATCATGTTGAGCGGTTTAGGGTCATCCTTCAAACCGTGCACACCACTGGTGGCCCTCCGCTCTCTACTGGTCTCCTGTGTAGACATCCGTTAGCAAAGATGTACCTATAGCTCCAAATCTATGGTTAATGGTTTCCCTTTAGATATGTGAAGGTATAAAATCATGACAAACAATTTTTGAGTCGATTATATTACTTTCTGTAAAGCAATTTTATATGTTCGTCTTTAGTGTCATTCGAGCTTGTTTATGAACACTCGAAACACATCGGATTTGAATGATTCTTGATTCTATAGACTCTTCAACAAGGCTAATTTAACTACAACCAGTAAGAACACTAAACAAAGCTTTTGTAGCCATAAAGGTTCACCTACGATACGATTAGTCCAGGTATTCGTGATCGCCCGAAGCCATGTACAAACTTCTATTCCTTGTAATAGTGAACAATACTTGGAGAAAAGCAATAATGCAATAAAAGATATTAAATACCTCTTTTATTTGTGTTGAATATTGCAGTGGTAATGGTAGAGTGTGTTTGAATCACATGAAGTAGCATTCACACACCATTGTTTTCCCAAGATCCACCATGGATGACTAGGGTAGGGTGTTATCATATCTATATTCATCGTTCTGTTTATTTATTATGTGATTTTGTTGTGATAATTATTTGATACCAGTTAACATATTATATGTATGTGATTTTAAAGATAAGAATGTCACCAAAATTGTAGATAAATACGAAATCATATGATTATCCTTAATTAATTAGTTTATTCCTTTTTTAATTTTAATTAAGAGTTAAATAATTTGGAGGCCTATAATTGTTCTTGCGTTCTCATAAAACAAGGATATTCTTCTTTGAACTTCCCTCCCCCCCCCCTCACACACACACACACACACACACACATATACATACATACATACATACATACATATATACATACATACATATATACATACATATATATATACATACATATATATATATATATATATATATATATATAGACGAAGGATCATGTGAAAATAAAAGTTAAAGTGAAAAGTTTAAGAATGTATCTGGACCCTCATTTTTAATCTTGCCCCCACCTCATGAATTGCGTTTGATATAGAAATTAATTTGGTTCATCTCATTAATGTTGATTTTCAATTAGGATTAATCGAATTGAATATGTTTTGAATAAAAAAGAATGAAAGAAAGATGTATAATGAAATATATGGAATCCATTAAATGGGCCTAAGCTTCAAAAAGCCCACAAATGAGCCCATCACACTTTTCTCTTTCCTTAATTCCCTTCCCTTTAGGGCTAAGAGCACCTCTAACTTTATTAGAATTATTTTATTTTGCTTCTTTGGTTTTTGGTTTTATCGTTTTATTATTTAAATATTTATATTACAATTTAATTAATATAATTTATTAATCAATTTTTTTCTTTTTCTCTTTTATTTCTTTTTTTAAGTCGTTATTTATATAAATAAATGTTTAATCCTTGTTATTTGTATATCATTATCGAATACAATACAAAAACGAAACCAAATAGAACATAAAAATGTTCTCTTTATTTTTTTAAAGAATAAATGTTTGCGTAGATAAATGTTTAATTATTTTATTATTTTTTATATCATTGTTTTTATATCAATTTTGAAGCATGCAACTTGCAATTGTCGTGATATGTAACATTTTTTTGGGTTAGAATGATGTAAGTAACCAATTTTTAGAAGTTCAATGATTTATTAATTAAAAAAATATATGTAAGGTGAATTTTTTGTAAATAATTATGACTTTGTGAGTTGAAATACTACTTTTGTAAAAGCGATTATGTTTTTGAAGTTATTTTATAAATATCTCAGTCATTTTTCGAATCATTATATTTTTAGCATCGCTTTGTGTATAATATTGAAATTAGCCAAAAATAATAATAAATTTTCATTAAAACATATATTTATATTATAATCTCGAGTTAAATGAAAATTTGGTCCCTATGGTTTACATGAATTAATTAATGGTGTTATTAAGAGGGACCATATACATGATAAAAATAAAACTAATGTATTGTAAATATCTTTTTATTATCAAATAAATAATTACTCATAAAAATAACTTTTAAATTATATAATTTTAAAAATATCAAAATAG